TTGCTTTATAGGAACAAATACAATATTGTAACTGATTGGACAGATGATAAAGAAAAAACATGAGTTACCCAGAAATCCCTAAGGAGGAGCATAAGCTTTTTGTATGTATTTATTTTATTACAGCACAAGTCTGAGTACATAAAAAGCTCTACCTATATATACTTCAAAAATGAAACTGTTAATACATCAGTTACACGTATAATTCATCTGAATTGTGAACAGTGTCTAAAGCATTTGCATTAGTTAATCTGTTGTCAGTGGCAGCATCGACATTGTTACTTCATGATTTCACAAATTTGCCCAAGGTTTATCCACTAAGATGTAAAAGAAAGCACAAGACGCCTACAAAAATTGTGGTTGTTTGCGTTGTAGGTGCAAAATGGTAACAGTAACAACATAATGGATGTGGTCTACCTTGACTTCAGCAAAGCATTTGACGCAGTCTCCCACAGCATCCTCACAGCTAAATTGAAGTATGGTCTGGATGATCAGGTAGTGAGGTGGACTGTGAACTGGGCGAAGGAGAGAAGCCAGAGAGTTGTAGTCTATGGTGCAGAGTCTAGTTGGAGACCTGTAACTAGTGGAGTGCCTCAAGGGTCAGTACTGGGACCAGTATTATTTAATATATTCATCAACAATTTAGATGAGGGAATTGAGTGTACTATCAGCAAGTTTGCTGATGACACTAAGCTGGGAGGAGTGGCTGACATGCCAGAAGGCTGTGCTGCCATCCAGCGAGACCTGGACAGGCTGGAGAGTTGGGCAGGGAATAACTTGATGAAATACAACAAGGGGAAGTGTAGAGTCCTGCATCTGGGCAGGAACAACCCCAGGTTCCAGTATAGGTTGGGGAACAACCTGTTAGAGAGCAGTGTAGGGGAGAGGGACCTGGGGGTCCTAGTGGACGACAGGATGACCATGAGCCAACACTGTGCCCTTGTGGCCAAGAAGGCCAATGGCATCCTGGGGTGTATTAGGAGGGGGGTGGTTAGTAGGTCGAGAGAGGTCCTCCTTCCCCTCTACTCTGCCCCGGTGAGACCGCATCTGGAGTATTGTGTCCAGTTCTGGGCCCCTCAGTTCAAGAAGGACAGGGACCTGCTGGAGAGAGTCCAGCGCAGGGCAACTAAGATGATTAAGGGAGTGGAGCATCTCCCTTATGAGGAAAGACTGAGGGAGCTGGGTCTCTATAGTTTGGAGGAGACTGAGGGGGGACCTTATAAGTGTCTATAAATATATAAAGGGGGAGTGTCACGAGGATGGAGCCAGGCTCTACTCGGTGGCAAACAATGATAGGACAAGGGGTAATGGGTACAAACTGGAACACAAGAGGTTCCACTTAAATTTGAGAAGAAACTTCTACTCAGTGAGGGTGACGGAACACTGGAACAGGCTGCCCAGGGAGGTTGTGGAGTCTCCTTCCCTGGAGACATTCAAAACCCGCCTGGACGCATTCCTGTGTAACCTTATCTAGGTGCTCCTGCTCCGGCAGGGGGATTGGACTAGATGATCTTTCGAGGTCCCTTCCAATCTCTAGCATACTGTGATACTGTGATATTTGGAAAAAACTTGGGCTATTTAAAAACATTTGAAAAAATCTGTCCCTGTAGTCATCACTGACTCAAGTACTAACTCTGGTTCCCTTCCCTACTGTTTGTTTCAGCTGGATATAGAATAGGTATTTTTTACTCCTAATGCTTCTCTTCTATCCCTCTGCCCCACGCTCCTGTTTCTTCCTACTAAATAATCTATGAAAGGTAGAGAGTCTCCAAAATAGCCTGCTGTCCTGGTTTAAACCCAGCTGGCAACTCAGCTCCAACAGCCACTTGCTCACTCGCCCCCTCTGGGATAGGGAAGAAAATAGAACTGTAAAAGTGAGAAAACTCATGGGTTGAGATGAAGACAATTTAATGGATAAAGAAAAAGCTTCACACACAAGCAAAGCAAAAGAAGGAATTCATTCACCACTTCCCATTGTCAGGCAGGTGTTCAGACAGGAAAGCAAGGCTCCATCACACAAGGGTTACTTGGGAAGACAAATGCCGTAACTCCATATGTCCCCCCCGCCCCTCGCCTTCCTTCTTCCTCTTCCTCTTTATATTCTGAGCATGATGCCACATGGTCTGGAATATCCCTTGGGCTCCCTAGGGTCAGCTGTCCAGCTGTGTCCCCTCCCAACTCCTTATGCACCCCCAGCTGGTGGTGTGAGGAGCAGAAAAGACCTTGACCCTGTGTAAGCACTGAAACATCCCTGTGTTATCAGCACAGATCCAAACCACAGCCCCATACCAGCTACTGTGAAGAAAATTAACTCTACCCCAGCCAAAACCAGCACACCTGCTGATTCCTATTTTTGACAGATTCGTTCCACCAGCTCTCAGCATTCAGTAGGCCAAAGCAAATAAAAAGTGTGTGATTATAATATTCTGAGTGCACAATTTTCTTAACTTGTGTGTCAGTCTCTGCCTTTATTAACAGTTATGTAAAGCCAGAATAGTTCCAGTAGTCTACTAAATGTGTGGAACTGTTACAAACTTGCATTAAATTATCTCAGAGTAGTAGCTGAGGCAGTAAATATACTTAAATAAAAACATATTTTGCTACAATAATACCCAGGCTCATACTCCTAACAGCTGCACAGCGATGTTCTGTTAAATCCAGTGCAACTCTAGTATGCAGTATAATGGCAGACAAAGAACCAAATTCATTAAATCCTTGTTACTACAACTGCTCAAAGGTACCACTATATCCCTTCTTGTACTTTCTTAAGCTTCCCAGGAGCAATGCCACTGAAAAACAAAAGCCCAAAGATACAATTCTGTCTAAATCTTATAGGTTCATTCAAGTAGAAAGCACTACATGTCAGTGGAGACAAAAAGCAAATCACTCTGGTACCACTGTCAAGTTCTGCGATAATGAAGGGTAACACAGCTATGGAGCAGTCAATGGAATGGACCCTGGAAAGCTGGAAAAGCAATAGCTCCTCATGAATAGCAATAATGGGAATACAACACTGAGAACCAATCAAACGGCACAGGAGAGTTACAGCTTCATGTGAATAATTTATTCTTTTATCACTTTAAATTTTACCAGGTACTTACTTACTTACATAGAAATTTTTTGTGGACAGAATTTACATCACCTACTGCACAACTGTATTCACAAATAGGGTATGATTAGCATCCTTCCCATGTTGCTTAACAGTGCCTCTCTTGATCAAATAGGGTTATTCTTTTGCCAATTATTCCTTTGACTTAGTTTCCAAGTGTAAACAGAATTTTTACACGTGCCTTTGTTGCAACTAAAATCTCTTTTTATTATGGAAATACTTAAGTTCCATCTGTTATTAGCATTTGCTAAGATGGCTTGTTTCTATGTTGAAACAGGGATTCAGTTTTAGATGTGATGAAGGCTTTCAGCATTTCCATGTCAGGCACTGCAGTGCCTCTTTACCAAGGTGTCAGCTATGAGAAGCACCCCAGTTACCTGCTTGGCCTTCCAGTGCAGTGCCTGGCATTCCTGCTCAGACTGGCAACCCTAAATACAGAGCCTGGAAAAGCTTTCCCCACAAGAAAACTTGCCCAATTGCAGTAACATGTACTAAATGTGTCCTGAATTACCCACCAAAGAGCTGGAGCCTGGAATCTACCCAGACCTTGCTGCGCAGAAGCCTATGCGCACTTTTGGAGAATTTGCATGAAAAAGAGCCACAGGAGGCGGTCCCAACACTCCTCTTCTAGTCATCTAGAGTTAAGAACATACACACATGAAGTGGGAGGCCTGAGTTCAGTCCTTACTCAGCTTGCGGGAATTCAAGCAAGCATCCTGTGGCAGATGACCATGAAAACAGGAGTACTCTGGGAAGGAGGAAGCAGAAAAACTCTTCCGCACATCCTATTAATAGTGGGAGAAGGGGACTAGATTCATGGAGAAGATAGACAGTAGAGAGGACTATGTCTCTCCATCTAGTTTCAGATCAGTCAGTGAGGATGAGGGTTTGAATTCCCCTACCTCAATGATTTCTGAGATTTTATGTTCCAATGCAAACACAGTAGCCTTTGGGCTAGTAGATAAAATAGCTCTGTTTTAAAAGCAACATATATGCAAACACAATTTGGGGGGGGAGGAGAGGGGGGGGGAGGAGAAGGAGCGATGGGCTGGCCCTTTAGCTGGCACCATAAAACCATACTAAACCAGAAGCTTCCAGGTCCCATCTAGTCTCAAAGGAGTTGAGGCAGTAGCTTGATAGGTGGGTAACTGGTCAGAGGTGAGCAGCTCTGTATGGACAGAAGAGAACCTTTGCATGTCAAAGAGATAGTGGTTGTGAAGAATTCTGGAATGACAATGTTGATTTTCAAACACCTGAATTTCTAAATTCTCGTGTTAGCACCCAGGTTTGGTGGGGGTTTTTGGATATGCTGAAGATATAGCTAGGAGAAAAAAACAACTCAGCAAACCTGCCTCAGGCTCACCAGGGAGAAAACAGAGGCCACACAGTAGGAAACCTGGCTAGCAACATGCCTCTGTTGTCAATCATCAGGCTGTGATTATGCAGAGAACACACAAAGGAAACAGGTTTGACAGACAGCTACTAATGAAGACCAGACTCTGCCCTCATTTACACAGTGTAAACAGTGAAAGTGGGTAAGCACTTGATTCAGCCTTTTCTAATAACAGGAGCTAGCAAAAATACTAACCACTGCAGGTTCACAGAATGCTTATTACTGCAAAGATTATTTCCAAATTTGTTCTTCATGGTGTACAGCAAAAAAATACTGGGAGAAAGGATATATTTCATTCTTTCATGGATGTCTGAAAGAGGGGAGATGTAGATTAGATATTAGGAGGAAATTACTTCCTGTAAGGGCGGTGAGACACTGGCAGAGGTTGCCCAGAGAAGCTGCGGCTGCCTCATCCCTGGCAGTGCTCAACGCTAGGTTCAAGGGGACTTTGAGCAACCTGGTGTCATGGAATGTCTCTGCCCATGGCAGGGGGTTGGAACTAGATGAGTTTTAAGGTCTCTTCCAACCCAAACCATTCTATGGTTCTATAGTTCTGTGACATACTTTTTGCAGTTTAAATCATGGTGACTTCCCAAAACTCATTTTAATAAATGCTTAATAGGAATGCAACAGCTGGCTTGATTCATCACTATGTTGTAGTATAAGAACTATATACTACGTAGTATTTTGAACTATGAAATTGTATTACGTTGAAAGATAGACATTTCCTTGTGTGTTCCTGGTGACTCTGCTAATTCAAAATCTGGACTAGTAGGCGCATAGTTAAACTGAAGACATACACAAGTGTTTCACTACACAGCTTGAAATACTTTCCACAGTTAACATATTGAAGGCAAACACAGATTCTCTCTCCTGCTCAAGCTACAATGCTGTAATTTAATTTAGAGTCAATATTTCCAAGATTTTTTTGTCTGCGAATTAAGTCCATCATTCAGTGAATGGTATTAAATTCCGCTGCACCAACCTGTACTGAGGCTAAGTTAAGCATCATACTCTTCAGGCCTATAGCTCTTACGTAGCTGATGCTTTAGGTAGCCCACTAGGGAATAGGTTTGCTTGGCTAAGAACTTTTAGGAGTAGACCACTGTTTTCTACAGGATGGCTAACCAGCTCAGCTGCATTAAACTCCCATGCAAGACAGAGGAAAAGAAGAAAATTAAAAAAAAAAAAACACATGAAAGTGAAGGAAGGAAGTACCTGTAAACTCCACTATTCTTTTTTGTGATGATGGTGTCTCTTAGGACAGAGCCTGCTGCCTTCATTTGGAACTAGCAGTAATGTAAAGGAACACTAATGTCCTGTTTAACAGAAACATTGTCATAAAACATAAAAAGAACTGCTTTTTTTGATGTAAGGTCCCTATGTCATTCTAAAATATGAATCTATGCTACAGCTTTAAATATAAACAATTCCCTTCCACAGTGCGTGCCAGTTCCAGGCTGAATATACAGCAATATACCAGCAAAAACATTGATTTTTTTTTTTTTTCAGAAAAGGTTTCTCAGTGATTTACCATAAAGATAAAACATTTGCCTTTCCTATGGATTTTTTTCTTATATAAAATGTATAAAATAAATCCATGTGCCCTTTTCAATATAGTCTGTCTGTGTAGACGGTTTACATGGTTTACACTTTTTCAGTTCTGAGTAACATGACAAAAAGTACACCCCCACTTCCCACAGACAGCAAGAAGCTTTGTATGGTTTCATCTCATTAGGATGGTACTCCACAAACAGTGCTCTTGGGTGGTTCAGAATCTCAATGACAGCATATGCTGTCAGCACATACTGTAATTAATGAGTTACTGATTACAGCAATCATTGGAGTGAAATAAATAAAGCAGTCTCTTAACCAAAAGATAGGGAAATAGCATCATGCTAGTGCACAATACAATCAACATGTGTAGCACATTCCTGTTTTCCATGTCCTTCTCTGATGGTCTTGCAGTAAGTTGGAAAAGCCTCTTGACACAGGATACTTAACACACAGTGAGATATTTAAGCCGTCTGCAGTCAGTTTCAAAGAATTTACATTTGGTTTAGGTTAATCTTCCTTGACCTGCAGTTAATTAAAGAGCAGCTTGAAGTACAAATGTTCTAATGGCATACATGGCCATGTCAATCAGTTGCAGTCTGAACAGCTTCAGTTCTTTTCTGTTATAATTTAAAATCTCTGATAAAAAAGGTAATAAAATTATGACTTTCTATACAGAAACCATTGCCTGTTTCAAATAAAGAACATATCAACATTTCATATCTGATATGCCACATTTTAAAAAGGTAACTTGCCTTTTTCTGTTTATTTTTGTTTATTCCAAATATAAACATGTGGCACACATTTGTGTTACTTAAAACTTTAAGTCTGGTATCTGTTAAATCATTTTGTGGTTGAAATTCCTGGGACCACACAGTGCCACGTCTTCCTTAAAGCTTCTATTGCACCAGAAATGAAAGGCTGTGATGGAGATGTTCTTCCTATACTTTTCTAGCACAGGAAATAGTTGGTTTAACCTAAAAACAAATGCAGCTAAACTATGCTGTGTTTATCCCTCCCTATAATCCCAGAAAGAAGGAAAACAAATGGCAGAAAAAGCTCCAGCCCAGACTGCAATTACGTGTAAACACGCAACCAATATTATCAGTAACATCCCATTATGACACTGTTGTCAGGAATCTTTCAGAAATCCAGGTGTAAAGAAGTTGGTTTGTTTTTTTTTCTCAGATTGGGAATTGGGAATTGGCACAAACATAACCCAGAGGTCATCCTTTTTATAGCAGCTTTTCCTTTCATGTGCTTGGCTTTTCACACAAAGCACAGCAAATACCAGATGTGTTACAACCAAGTAGCTCCAGTTCAACATCTTGGGAGCAGAGAGGAGAAAAGGGGGAGTCCCCTCTCTCTGCAACATGGCAGAGAGGGTCCCCTCTGCAGGGGGGAGTTTGTACTCCCCCACAGCTGCAATCCCGCTCCCCACTTGGGAAGCCAGAACCAGGCTGGCCACCTCACAGTGGGAGGGAGCCCTCCTGGTCCCCTGTTTTGTCCAGCCTCTCGGGGAGAGTGAGCACAAAGGGTAGGAGGACACCCTTGGCATCCAACGGAGCTTTAAGAAGCTCTCCATCAAAGGTGCCCTTGAGCCCACCATCTGCTTCCACCTCACCATCCTGGGCTAGGTTGAAGCGGAGGGTGCCGGTCCGGTTGACACAGTAGATGGTGTTGCCCAAGGGGGCACAGCGGAAGGGCTGGATGGGGCCACCACTGGGCCGCAGGCTGGCACACTGTCTCCAGCGCTTGGCCACTGTATTGTACCGGAAAACTTCAACACCACCGCCACTCCCACCACCTGGGCCCTGCTCCCCACCACGGCCACTGCTCACATCGAAGCGATAGATGAAACTCTTGAAGGCCACCATGTCAGCAGAGCGCCGGCGGCTGCTGTTGTAAGGGCACTCCTGCCACTCATCACGTTTGGGGTCATACTTGAGCAGGCGGTAGAAGAGGGAGCCTCCTGATACATAGATCTCCCCGTTGCAGGTGGTGGCCTCATGAGCTACGGCAAAGGCACCCTTGGGCAGGGGTGCCACAGGGCTCCAGCGGTCTGCCCGTGGGTCATACCTCTCCACAGTGAAGAGGCACTCACCCCCCACAGCATAGAGGTAACCGTCCAGGGCCAGCAGCTTGAGCTGCGAGCGGGGCTGAGCCAGTGGCCGCACCTGGCTCCAGGTATCAGTCAGGGGGTTGTAGCAGAAGACCTTGTCAGAAAGGCGGGCCCGGGACTCACCACCTGCTGGCCCCACCATGATGCCCCCAGCTAGGAAGAGGTAGTTGTGGAGGACACACATGGCACAGCCTTTAGCATTGGCCTCCTCAGGCAGGCGCGTCAGCACCCTCCACTCACCACTGGCCTCCTGGTAGCAGTGGATGAGGGAGCCACTCTCCTCCAGTGACACCACGGAGGAGGGGCTCTGTGGCCGGCTGCTCTCCCGGCTCTGTGGCCGGCTGCTACCACCTGGCCGCTCAAAAGCATCGCTGACCTCGGCCACCAACAAGCAGGGCCGGCCGGCTTCCATGCGCCGCTGCAGGATAAGGTCCCGCTCAGTGCCACTGAGACGGCCGTAGACACTGGGCTCCCGCAGCACCTCCAGGTAGTGATCGCTCATGAAGCGGTAGGCAGCTTCCCGCAGTTCCGCCAGCCGCTGCTTCTTGGCCAGGCAGAGGAGCTGGTAGCAGTTGCTGAGGCGGAGCTGGGCACGCATGGCCTCGGCGGCACAGTGCAGGGCACAGGGCATCTGGAGGACGCGGGCGCCGCTCACCACCTCGGCCAGGTTGTCGTGCCGCACCTCGCCCATGCGGGCCGTGTACACATAGTCGATGAGGAGCCGTAGTGCCCCGTAGCTCACTCCCTTCACACGCAGGACGTCCCGTGAGGCGCGGGCACGAAAGTAGTCACTCTTGGCCGCCAGCACCGACTTGTGCGCCCGGATGCGACGCCCCGAAACCTCGATGACCAGATCGGGCTCCTCCGCCGGACGGTCTAGCGTCCCTACCGCCTCTTCCTCCTCCTCCGGCTGGCAGGCGGCGTTGTTGATCTCCCACTGGCTCTCCACCACCCGGCCCCCAGCAGCAGGCGGCTGCGGCTCGGCTGCGGTGGCGCTGAAGCAGAGGGAGGAGCTGAAGCCGCAGGGGGCGGCCGGGGTGGGAGGCGGTGGCGGCGGCGGGGCGCCGGGCCCGGCCCCGCTCTCCTCTTCCTCCGCGGCACTGCTGCCCTCCATGAATGCGCGCTAGCTGTGGCGGCGCCGAGCCGCGCCCGTGAGGAGGGCTCCGGGCCGCAGCGGGGCGGCCATCACCTGCGGGGAAACCGGAGAGCGCTCAGCTTCCCGCAGCCCAGCCCGCCTCCCCGCTATTCCGGCTTAACACAGAGCCGCCGCTCTCGCAGGAGGGGCTGCGTCTGGTTTCCGGGGCTAAACCCGCGTTTCTCCTTTCCCTGGAGGATCCGTCCTGCAGGTCTGCCGCCTCCCGCTGCCCGGGGCTAACTGCACTAGGTCACCCCCGAAAACACGGCCTCTTTCTGGGGAGGGGAGGGGATATCGCCCCGATGAGCACCCCAACAGCCTGAAAAGCAATTCTCGTTTTCCTGTTGCCATGGAAAAATGTGAAGCAGTTTGTACGCACTGCATCTTTTTCATGGCAACTGGTCCCTACGCTGCGCTTGGCAATGAGGAAAAACATCCTTTACAGGCAGGTACTTGGGAGTACCGTCATAATTTATTCACCTTGTGCAACTACTTCAGTGGAAGGTAGTGGCTGCAATCTGCTCTGGAAGGAGATTCCCCACTAGCCAAGTTTTTCTTTACATGACCTTTGTGAAGGTTTCTTCGTATCACTGCTCCGCATACGCATTCTCCCTGTTTAAAAGAAAGTTTAAAACAGCTGATTAGTTTTAAACTTGATAGATTTTCAGCTCACTCAGAAGTTTAGGACTATTAGAGCCATGTTTCTTTTAACAGGATATCTACAGTATCCTAAAGTGACCAGAGTATGCTAATAGATTCAAACTGTTTACAAAATACATCAAAAGGTTTTTTGTGTTGTCATGACAAAAGCAATCTGGCATGTACATAACAGTGTATGTAGCTGTAACGTATTAGTGACATGTAAATCAGACTTCATAGGGACTGGTTCATGTCTGAAAGACGTCTGAAAGATTTCTGTTAATAAAAAGTAGAAGCGAGCAAAAATTACAATAGATAATTAGAACATGAAGTTTCTTCTGGGAAAATGGCAGGGTACAGGGCATGACTGTGAGTAGGTTAGTCCCTGTCAACACAATCACCACCCAGTTGTATCACCATTTCACAAATGTAGCTTTTAGAATTTCACAAAGTGCTGTTTGTTTGCCTCGTTGTTTGTTTACAAATTTCCCAGGCTCGGTTTAAGTTTGGATGAATGATGCATGAAAATTGTCAAATTGTACTTAATTTCATTTAATAAGTATCTGTAGCTCTGATTCTTTTTTAAAGGAGGTTACTAATTTCCATTAAGATCCCTGTTGACAGGTTTTTCCCATCCTCAAGGAACACTCATTTCTATGTAAAATATACCTTGTGAGTTCCTTTCAGCAGAGAGGATTTATTTACCCTATTAAATTAATATTAGGAAAATCTAACTTTCTGATTTTTCTTAATGAAAGCATAATTGGTAAGTGACATTGTCAGGACACTCATGACATTGACATAAAACCTAGAAGCCCATACTTGCACAAGCAAACTTCACTTAAATGACAGGATCAGTTTTCTTCTTACAGGTTTTTATTTTTTACACTTGCCCTGTGAAGGACTTCCTACTACATTTGATCACATTCAGTTAGCCAAGAAATCAATACTGAGGTTTGATTTCAGGATATTAGAGCCCTGGAAACCAAAACAAGGTTTGAACAGCATTTAGAAACTCTTTACTTGAATTAGTAGATTTCACAAACCTTGTATTTCTCATCCAGGTGTTTAAAAAAAATGGCATTTTGGAACTTTCTGTGACATTTTATGAACTTTGGAAAGCCTTAGTGGCATATTTTCTGAGGTCCAAACCAAAACTCGGTAGGTTAGGTTTTGCTGACTTTTCTGTAGCTTTAACTAGACAAGGAGAAATGCAGTGATCTGTGTAGACACTCAGTGTGTCTGTGGAAGATATACTGATTCATTAATACTTTAAATGGGGCAACATCCCTGTTGATGTGATTTTGGTTTTCAGTAAGTCTTCACAGTACTGAATTCACTATGTAGTCATTTTAATCCTGATGCATTATGCTGCAGACATTGAGATAAATCTGCTTTCTGCTCCAGGCCTTCTAGAGCCCTGATCTAGCTTTGTTCAAGAGCTGCTACTGTAACTGACAGTGGCAAAATGACAAAGGCCAAATAGAGATGGTTAGAAAAACACCTAGAATGATGTGGTGCTGCTCTGATGTCCTGTTACATTAAGAAAATTGCTATCAGTATATAATTTGTAACATAAGCAATTGAAACATTTTACATCTCCTCTGCTCTTTCTTGGGCTGAGTACCCTGATACTCAATCCTTACCCTGCTACAGCTCTAGAGAGCCTGCCCTCAATTATGAACATGCAAAGAGTGCTAACAGACTTTCCCCCATTGCTCTCACTGTCTTTCCTGGATTCAGACATCCCTCACTTCTGAGACCACTTCTGACTTCTCCTACTTATGTACCCCCTTTACAAGAAGGAAGGAGCAGCTTCAGATAGTGCCAAGCTCTCAGTCTACTGCTTGATTTTACAGGAGAAACAAGAAAGAATGAAAGAGAATGCTACCAAAAATAAAAAGCGTGAGTGACTACATGTAAGAGTCAAAACCAGTAGCTGTAATCCAATAGTGTCTCCAAATGGTGAAATGTATTTCCTGCACTGTATCTCAAAAGAAAATCACCAGTTAGATATCAAAGTTGTTAAAACCAGCATCCAGAACAAGTGATCTTTTCAACTTTCGTGCCTAATGAAAATAAAAAGGGCGAGATCCTTCACAAACACACTAATCACACCTTTTCCCATATTCAGATGTCTGCTCTGCTTAGACGTCTTCCTTTGCCTCGACACTGAAATGTTATTAAGAAGCTTTCCACCCACCACAGTTAGTCCTTACAAAACACCTTTGTTAACATCTTGAGGAATCACAAGGAGGAAGGACTGATGGTACTGCTTGCTAATGGCAAGCAGCAGAATTCTGAAGAATAATATCTTCTGGTATATTTAAAGCTAACTACCAAGAGTATGTTGAAATTCATGTTGAATATGAGAAAGACTCAAATCAAAGCACTGCATGCAATTTAGGCAACAAGGAACTCTAGAGGGAAGCTTGAAGACTTAGGAAAGATGTAAGAGGGTTTGGAGGACTTTGTCAATGACAGAGCAATGACTGCTCCAGCAATCTCAGAACTTTTGTCTAGCTGAAAACAAAGTGCAGGAATTACACAACGATGAAGCTGAAAAAACAATTCAGAGAATGGTGGAACCTTCCCATTATTGAGCAACATGGCCGATCTGAGTTAAAAGGTCATGGATTTAGTATAAAACAGGAAGCTGAAAGAGGCTGATGGAAATACAATACTGAACTCCTTCATTTGTTTCTTATCAACAGAGATCAAAGAGTTGTAGTGCTGTTCTGGTGACACAGAACACTCAAAAAATACAGAATCACAGAAGATACTTGATAGCTGTGCTGATTCAAAACAATCTGAGCTCCTAACAATCTCATTTGGCTTAAAACAAGTTTGACTTTAGAACCTTTATCAAAAATTCCCAAACAGAACTGGTACTGGAAAAGGAAGCAAGCTGTTTAGAGTACAGGGCATCTGTGGACTGATGCCACCTTTTATACTGGGGACTTTTAAGTCAGAAGCTGAATTACTTGGACTAAAACTGTTTTCATTATCATGGGTTTGGTCTAGGGATGATGTAATATTAATGGACAGAAGAACTGCCAACAGACATGAACTATATTTACAGACTTGGCAGTGACACACAATATCCTGGATGTGTGGCCCCAACCTCAGATGCTGTGAGACATTGCTCAAGTAACAGCACAGATAAAGCCGCACAGCTTTTTCTGACAGAGCAACTGTAATGAAGAGCTGCAGGTAGTTTCCTGGCACTGCATTCATTTGGCAGTTCTGATAAAATCCAATTAAATGCTTGTTTTTTTTTCTTCTTTTTTGTTCTTTTTTTTTTTTTTTTTAATGCAGTGCCAACAACCTTTGACCCTGTCCTCTAGCAAGACCCACTTTCTCTGTGGAATATGCACGTGTAGGAGGGATTGAGTTACTGCTTTCCAGTTCACAAATGAAAACTGCGTTGACTCAGTCTCAGGGTTAATGAAAGTAGTGCTTTCCCTACCATAACTCGAATTTACATAAGCAGGCTATCTTCCCCAAGAGACACTACATCAGAACTGACAGAATGCCATTCTGCTCCACCTCAGTCCAGGAAATGCTTTTTGCAAAAACTTGTTCTGCCAAATTTCATCCCAGTAGAGAATTTCCTCAGGACAGGAGCATCATCTGATTGAGATGACTAAGTAATCCAAAGAGGTAGGATAATCAAAAGAGAGAAAACATCGCTTGTATTTATTTTAAAAACTAGAAGATGACTGTTAAAAGTAGAACTGGCCAGTGCAAAGACATCCAGCTCAGCCTTGAATGCCGAGTCTTCTAGACTTCTAGAGGGCACAGTCAAGTGTAGAGAGGTTTGCATAATTATAAATACATTCTGGTTTTATGCTGCCCATTGAGCAGATCTTTGAAACTTGGGAGGGGTAGGGGGGGGGAAATGGTCTCTTCATAGTCTTCATCACTGGAGAAAACAGGAGCATTGAGATGGGACTTCTCTGAAAGGGCCTGAAGCACTTGAATACTTGCATCCTATTACGCATTTAAACTCTAGATCTTGACTGCTTGATTAACCTCCTGCTTGTAAGAAAGAAAGAAAGAATTGTCTTTCAGTGCCACACCTTAAGAAAAATTGCAGGAAATAAATTTCTTTCCTTTTTTTTTTTGTTGTTGTTGTTGTTGTTTTGTTTTTTCCCTTTTTAAATTAGGGGTTCTCAAAGTTTGGGTTACAATACAATCCTAGTGTGGATGGATGTATGTCTTCTGTATCCAATACTAACTTGTCTACGCAGCTTCCTTGTGACATCTCAAGGTGCTGTCATTTTCTCACATGTAATGGAGGTATGAATGTTTTTATCTCTTAACTGCATTAATTTTCATACAACCATAAAGATAAATAAACATTTAAGAAATACAGCTTATGATTACAGGCCATACAAGAAATATGTGGGCAGCAGTTTTTCATCAGAAACTCAGAGGAAGAAAAGTCTGTGTGTGTCTGGACAGGGAGGAAGAGAGAGAGGAAGTAAGTCATAATAAAAATATTATTGAAAGCCTGATGAAATCAATATTATAGTTAGCAAATCTAAACTAAAAATATACACGTTCTAAGCAGTCATTATGATCAGAGAAAAGGTTTCTTAAGAGTACTATCAATAGAGACAATCTCTAAAAAGGAAGCTATCCTTTTGAGTTCCTTCCAGTTTAGACTCTTCACAAGCAGGGAGGAGCAGTGTCTCTCAGGAGTTCACACACCAAAAAGGAAATAACACTCCCACAAAAGCAAGCGTAGCACAGGTTAAGTGCAAGTCCTCTCCAGTATCTCTTAGAAGAAAGAAAGACTAACAAGAAAAGAACAGTCATAAACAAGATTTTGAGTAATTACAATAGCTTCAGGGAAAACTCCAGGGCTGATGTGATGTCTTCATCACCAGTGTGCTACAGATCAGAAGATAATGGCACAGCAATACCACACTGCACAAAACAAAACCTTTCATGGAGAACTGGTGCTA